ATTTATTCCAAATTTATTTACATTGTGTTAGTCTTCGGTGTGAAAAACTTATAAGTAATGCTTTTGCATTTCTTCTTGTCCGAGTACATTGTTCCTTTTCGTTTCATTTTCTTATGCTCTTGAGACATAATAGGATGAAGCTTTGCTCTTGGTTTTGGTTAAATATATTTGAACCAAATCGACTTATTTTTCAATTTTGGGTTCGGTTTAAATCCATACAATATTTAGGTTTGGTTTACGGAATTATGTTAACTTCGAGACGACTAATTTCCCATTTTTGCAAAAAATGGTTATTTTCATGTCAAATAACATATTTTATACGTGGCGCATTCATGTGTTTTTTTGGTGCTTTTGGCTTAGTTGAACTATTTGCTTCTAAATCAAATAACAAACTTCTCTGCTAGCTTGTTATTCTCATATCTGCAAAATAAGTATAAGTATAATTGTTTAAAACACTAATCAAAGAGCTGAGACATTAGTCTTTTCAAGCAAGGAAACAAACATATTCGTTGTGATATATCGCTAGCTTGCCATAGCTAAAAAAAAAAGAACCTGTTTTTAGCAAAACAAAATGTCGGAGCAAATATTATCTGAGATTAGTTTTTCTTCTTTGCCAAAACTAATTGGTTCTTAATATATCTCGCTCCGTCTTTGTAGTTCTCATTGAGTCATTTTCTCTAACCTCTCAAAGAAAGAATCATATGTCATAACATCTCATCCAAGTGTTTTAGTTTGTGGGGCACACATACAGCTTGTAATACTAATATTCTTAGAGCATCCGCATTGGTTATATTTTCTAGTGTCTTTAAATATAAAATTATTAAAAGTTGAGTAAAAGAAAGAAAGAGAGTGTTTTTGGTTGAAATAATGGGGTGTATTGAAATATAAAATTAATAAAATTTGAGTAAAGAGATGAGATAGTGGGTATTATTGGAGAGAGGATGTCTTTTGGGATGTATGGAAAGACAAAGTTGGAGAGAGAATGGATGAAAGTTGGAGTGTGTTTAAATATAAAATTAATAAAAGTTGAGTAAAATGATGAAATAGAAGGTATAAAGTTGAGTAAAAGGAAGAGAGAGTGTGTTTTTAATATTTTTTTATTTAGAGACATCTACATTTTATGTGCAATGTGGATGGTCTTAATGGCTCTTCGTTGCTTACTTCAATCTTACAACCTCCTCTTATCTCTCTAAGGTTTGAATTTTCTTCAAATAAAACAAAAATCATCAAGTAAATAAACGCGGCGAAAGTATTCACTTGCTGTCTTTTCCAAAACTTATGGACATATAA